GAGCTGTTGGGGCTGGGGTTGGGGTTAGGGGTAGGGGTAGGGGTATGGTTGGGGTTAGGATTAGGATTAGGCTTGGCTGTTCAGGAATCACAGGGAGCTGCTGATGAGCAGCCCCGATTTCATTTGGGGGACTGGGTTCCGTTAAGGGCAGCCCAGGCTGGAAGCAGGGCTGTGTTCTGCTGCTGCAGGAGCTGCTGCTGCTCCTCTACTGCAGCTACAAGACTTCTCACGTGGCATTTCAGATATGATCAATAATCAATAGGGATATTGCAGAGAGAAAAGCGATTAGAAAATTCATGCAGGAGAGACATAAAGTCATCTTATACCTAAATGAAATATTAAACTGGAAAAAGTGATCTCTCCCCATTTTTAACACAAACATCATGCTGCAAAAGAACTCCAACCCTCAATTATGGTCACAAAATTCCTGCCTGCCATTGCTTTGGCAGCTCTGTCCCACAGAACTGCTCTCTTTTAGATTCCTTTCCTGCTGTGTTTTGAAACTTTTGGGAAATTAACATGTTTATGCAAGTGAGTAACATCAAAGAGTGTTCTGGGGTGCTGCCCTTGCACTGAATGGTGAAAAGATTTGTGAACTGTATTTCTGTTCTTAATATTTTGTTATCTTTTCTCTGTGAAATTAATTTTAATAAATTAATGATAGTGACCTTTCTTTGTAGGATTTGTCTTTTAAGACACAATACATGTACATTTACCTCCCAATTCCGGTACAGGGACTGTGCCAGCTGATGAGTCTGCACTCTTTTGAAGTTAGGATTTAATATTATAGGAGCTTTTTGTAGAAATAGGTTTTTATATAGATACTCTTTATGGAAAACTATTGCAGGAAAACAGACCTCTTCAGTGTTTCACTTCTGCCAGGGACGGTGACTGTAGGTTTAGCTGTATCACTTTTCCACTTAGATGAGGGTTTGTGGGGATTTGTCTATTTTTAAGAAGGGGAGAAAAGGGAACAGTAAGTTTTATTCTTTAAAAGCCAGAAGCTGTGTCAAACGAGTATTTTGGAATCAGGCTGCTAATTTTCCCGCTGTGTTTGTGGCAGGCTGAGTGTGCAGTGTTACCCAGCAATATCAATGCACTTCTCTTGCAGCTGTTGGTGCTGAAGGGGGTCAGGGCCAGGAGCAAGAGGGGCCTGGCAGCAGCCCCCCAGAAGTGGTTGAGGCCACCTGGCCATTGGCAGGTGCTGAGCTCGAGGAGGATGACCTGGACATCATCCCTCCCTCCCCTGAGGAGGAGCTGCCTCCCTTCTCCCCCTCTGTGCAGAGTGCCAGGTAATCAGAGTTCACTGCTGGAACTGTCTGCTGCCTGGTTAGAAAAGTACCAAAACCAGCCCAAAACTCCTGCTTGTGAGAGAGGTACAGGCTCAGCTTGTGTCTCTTTGCTGCTTGGCAGCTGCACTTAATGCTTTATCAAATACTGATTGTATGGCTGATGTTTTGGGTGGCTTTCACCTCAGAAAAAAAGCAGAGTTAGGTTTGTAGTGGGATGGGAGAAAATTACTGGGGCGAGGTTCCCCAGGTTGGTGCACAGGATGAGTGACTGCTCAGCTCTTGGGTTCCTCCTGGGCCTTCAGGAATTTACCTCTTCCACACACCTCAAATCCTGCTGTTCTGTGGAAATGCCTCACTTTGCAGATATCTGTATTTTAATGGCCTTTCCTTTTGGTGTCAGCAGTATTTTCAGAGACTCCCCCACTGGTGGAAGATGCACAGCTGGCAGCTCCGAGGCTGGGCAGGAGAAGGTTCCCACAACACATCCTGGAGGTGATCCCAGTGCAGGGGATTCAGGTACACAAAATGCTTTGGAATTTCATACCTCTGATTTTGGGGATAGTTTGCAACTATTGCTTATCCTGTGTAATCCAAGAACATTAACTAACAGATGGAGAATTACATCTGTAGATGGAGAGTTGACATAAATAGTTGGATTATAGACAGATAATGAAAGACAAGGGTAAAAATATGTAGATTGATTGAATTCCTGCACACAGAAACAGTTTATTTATGCAAATGGACTAAAAATATATTTGAAGTCAATTGTTTAGACTGATTGACTGCAGTGTAGTGTCCTCTGGGAGAGTGCTGTTCTCTTGACACCTGTTGTGATGCAGTGCCCGTGGCAGGTGAGGCCGTGCCCGTGGCGCCGCAGCTGTACCGAGTGATGGAGGCCATCTGTGAGCTGGTGGATGCCATCCCCCTGCAGGAGCTGCAGGCCCTGCGCTGTGCCAGGGCCCTGCTGCAGCACAGAGACCTCAGGTAGGCTGGAGCAGCTCAGTCTGGAGCCGGGAGCTGCCTGCAGGTGTCCCCAGCACACTGGAGAAGCAGGCAGGAGGGGCTTTAAGAAGCTTGAAATATTGTCTGAGGGAGGGAACAGAAGAGCCCAGAGTGCTGTGAGTGTTCACAGTCCCTGTGTACTGCCAGGGGAGGATCAGTGCCACAGGCATTCATTCCCCTCCTGCTGACTGCAGGGGTGGTGATTTCTCCTAACATCCCTGAACTTGTCCTCTTCCAGAGGAATTATTGCTGCCACAACCTGTTGCTTTGTCTGATGGTGCAGTGCATGGACAAAGTACAGGGATTTGGGATTTTGGTTAGATTTTTCCTGGACTGGGTCTTTGTGCTTCTGTAAATGTTCTCGCTACAACAACTTATTTTATTTCTCATTGCTGTAGTCAGACATAGTCTTTAGAAAGTACCTAAAAATATATAATTTTGTTCAGGCATGCTTTTAACTTCAGGTTTTGAGTCTAAGGATTTATTTTTTGCATTCTACCTTGCCTGGATCTGTTCCTTGCTTTTAGGAATTATTTATTTTACGTCTGTAGAGGTGATGTTACAGTTTTGTCATTAGTTCCTTCTGGTGGTATTCTCTTTTCCTTGGGTTTGTTTGAAATCATTTTCAAACATGATGACTCAGAACACCACAGAACCACCATATGTTAATATGTTTAATAGCAGTGAGGCAAAACTGTTCAATGAATGTTGTAGAACCTGGTAAATCATTGCTTGAGACTAAATATATTTTTTTTCCTTCTTCCTTCCCTTGTCATCTCTTTCAGGAGAAAATTGCTGGCTAATTCAGTCAGTTTGAAGCAAAATGGCATAAAGAACACTTTTGCTAGAAGCTGGAAGTCTCCCATGGAGCAGAGCCCTCGTGTGTGTCCTGGTTCTGGTCCAAACTGGAGCTTCAGTTCTGACAGAAACTCCCCCAAACCCACAAACCCCTCATCGGTGCTTTCTGTTCATTCCAGCAACTTTTCTGCCAAAACAAATCAAACCTTGGACACCTCTGGTGCTTCAGAGCAGAGTGCTGAGGGTGTGCCGTGCCCCAGGGGAAGTGGCTGGGGGGAATCCTCCCTCAGGCTCAGCCTCCAGTCCTGCGACAGCAGCAGGGACAAAGGTCCAGGAACGGGGAACTGCCAGTCCTGCAGGGAGCAGCTTGGCTACAAATGATCTCCACTTGGACCTGGATCACTTTGACATCGATGACTTCGATGAGGACTGGGAGAGCTCGCTGGCCGTGCCAGCACCGCAGGCTCTGTCCCCACCGCGGTGCCAGCCTCGGGAGGGGCCACCTGCCAAATCCCTCTTGTCCAAGATTATGTCCAGAGCCAAAGGGTCAGATGTGGGATCCGGTCCTGCTGCTCCAAAGCCAGGCCTCCTGATGGCAACAAAGAACCCTCCAGGTGAATTTACTCCTGAGGATTATTGGGGTTTTCCATTTTTAAATTCTTATTTATTTCTTTTTAAATCTAAGACCAAGTAAGTACTAGAGATCACATTCATGCCTTTTGTTTCTGTGGAAGTTTCTTTTGGTTCCTTTCTTACAAAGTCATCTTGGGGTTTTTTCCCTCCAAATGATGCCAAACTTGAATATTCCCTTCCTGTGCAGGTTTCAGGCTGCTGGAAGGTGAAGCTGCTAAAATTGGGAATGAGGGTGTTTCTGTGTTTTAGTTAAATGATTCTGCAGTTTTTGATTGAAAGCTGTATAATGGTTTTTGCTGCATAATGTTCCAAAATGGGTTTGTGGAAGCAAACCCAGTCCCCCTGGGGCCCAGGGTTGGTCAGTGTAATATCAGGATAATGTAGGGACAGGCTGGCAATAGGGGAGGTGAAAATCAGAGTCACAGAATGGTTTGGGGTGGAAGGGACCTTAGAGCCCCTCCAGTGCCACCCCAGCCATGGCAGGGACACCTTCCCCTGTCCCAGGGTGTCCCAGCCCCAGTGTCCAGCCTGGCCTTGGGCACTGCCAGGGATCCAGGGGCAGCCCCAGCTGCTCTGGGCACTGTGCCAGGGCTGCCCACCCTGCCAGGGGGTACAGAACTCCTGTAAGGTGATATCATAACTTATTCTAATTACTTTCTTTTGTCTCCCAGATCCAGTGGTTCATGACCCCGCACTGGAGCGTTTCAGGGGTATGAAATTTCCCCATTCTGCAGAAATGATGAATATATTCCACAAGAAGTTTGGACTGCACTGTTTCCGGACAAACCAGCTGGAGGCCATCAATGCTGCTCTGCTGGGGGAGGATTGTTTCATCCTCATGCCCACAGGTACGTGCCCCCACAGCACAGGGTACAGACCTGCAGCTCCTTCTGCAAGCTTTAGGATAAGGTTTGCTCTTCCCCTGTGCCTTTGTGCTGCTGGAATTCTGTGACTGCAGGATTTCAGGAGTTTTGTTGCACTGGGATATTTTGAGTGAGGGGATTGAATTTCTGCATCCTTAGTAATTCACACAAGTAACTCTTCCTTATGCTACAGGTGTCACTTTGTGGCAGGCATCGGTAGAAATATATTGTTTCCAAAACTGCAGTAAAATGGGAAATAAGAAATAAATCTCCATTCCTTTCCTCTTAATATCCAACACTTGCTTTGTTATTGGATATTGATGTTACTCCCTCCCCACAGGAGGTGGGAAGAGCTTGTGCTACCAGTTACCAGCCTGTGTGTCTGCCGGGGTCACTGTCGTTATTTCTCCGCTGCGGTCGCTGATCATCGATCAGGTTCAGAAGCTGAAGACTTTAGATGTAAGTTCCAGCAGCTTTATTGAGTGAAACTGCAGGTAACTGGATTAGAAATCTGAAATTTTACAGCAAATCTTGTGTCTCCCAAATATAAGCTGCATAAATTGATTAGATGGACACTGTGAATGGCACAGGAAGTTGCCTGGGAAGAGCTAAATTGGATGAACTCGAGTATCTTGGCAGTGTGACCGCTGGATTTATTGCTGCTCCTTGTGGTGGGTTACAGCTGGGTTTTTCAGAGCAGGTGCTGGTTCTGAGATCCAGGGAATTGAAATCACTCACCTACACTGGAGCAGCCTGACTGCAGCAGGAATGAGCCCTCGGAGTTCCTGAGTGAGGGGGCTTCTGGAGGTGCTGAACATCTTTGGAAACATGACAGAGCAGAAATGGTGCAGGAGCTCACAGGATCCTGGAATGCTTTGGGTTGGAAGGGATCCTAAAGTTCATCTTGTTTCACCCCTCACCACGGGCAGGGACACCTTCCCCTAGTGCAGGGTGCTCAGATGTGTGTACCCAAACGTGTGTTCCCAAGGCTGACTGCTTAGGAACTGATCTGTGATGAGAGGCTACATTTGGAGGTTCTCATGTTTTGCATGTAATAAAACTCAATATATATATATTTAATTTATTTTTTTTTAATATAGATTGCTGCAACATACCTGACTGGTGACAGAACAGATGCTGATGCCTCAAAAATCTACATGCAGCTGTCAAAGAAGGACCCTGTCATAAAGCTGCTGTATGTCACCCCTGAGAAGGTCTGTACTTCATCTTCAGCTGTGACACCATCGGGGCCAACAGGGGGGCATTGCTGTGAGGTGCTAAATAACTGCATCATAAATATATTATTATATAAATAAATATAAAGAATTATTTTCCTTCTGGGGAAAAATGCTAGGTTTTAGATAACTCATTAAGAATCTATATGGATGCAGCTAATTTCTATCAGTAATTAGCCAAGAATAAGAACTGAGTATGTCTGTAAAACGTAAATTCCTAAAACAAGCTCCCATGCCCACCTCTTTCAATCTGTCTTGATTTAGTAGCTACTAAGTCCAGACTGCTCTGAGTAGGGTGATACAGGAAAAACACAGCATTTGTCAGGGTGATAGGGGATTGTTGGAGTTTGCCTTGGGCTGTATTATTTGCTGCCTTAAAAATATATTATTGCACAAGAGCTTTGTAAGAGGGGGCTGGTTGGTGTGCTGATTGTGTTTCTCTCTTCAGCATTATTTTTTCCTGTCTTTCCTGACATCAGTCATTTAAATTTACTGGAATTTCCTCGGAATGAGGGGCCTTGGGATAGGCAATCTCAGCCTGTGGGAATCCCACAGCAGCTGCTTGGTTAGAACGTGCCTGACTGGCATCGTCTCTGTGCCTCGAGGAGTCACTGGCTGAGTGCAGGGTGATTCTGCAGCGTAGGACAGCTGTTGCTGTAGGCTCAGAAAGAGCTTTTTCCAAGAGGAAAAAGCTGACACTTTTAGGCCAGGTGTTTTGCTTTCCATTGCCACGGGTGTGTGTCCCAGGTGTGTGCCAGCAGCCGCCTGATGTCCGCCCTGGAGAACCTCTACGACAGGAAGCTCTTGGCACGTTTTGTCATTGACGAGGCCCACTGCGTCAGCCAGGTAAAACCTCCACTTGTTTCTAGGAGTGCCAAAAGACTCAGCTGGAGCATTTCACTCCGTTGCACTTACATTTTGTTTCCCACCCAGTGGGGCCATGACTTCAGACAAGACTACAAGCGGCTGAACATGCTCCGCAGGAAGTTCCACGCCGTGCCCATGATGGCCCTCACGGCCATGAAATGAAATGAAATTAAATTAAATACATGCATGGAATTTAATAGGAGGTAGATAAAAAATACTAACATAAAAAACAACAAACTTGCCAAGCCCTTCCTTGCATGATGAAGGAAGCTGTTTAACACAACTATACCCGTGAGGCTGACGAGCACCATGAACTGTCTCATTGCAGGTTTACAATGAGCTTCAACAGGCATAACTTGAAATATGATGTGCTGCCCAAGAAGCCAAAGAAGGTGGCGATGGATTGCTTGGAGTGGATTAAAAAATATCACCCCCGTGAGTACTGAGCAGTATGGTGCCCACAGGCCTTTTCATGAACCAGCTCTCAAGGCAGCAAAAGCTTTTATAATGCTGTAATAATTACATATTTACCAGAAAAGCAAGATGGAGGTAAAGTGATGTTATTGAAAATGGGAATCAGATTTATGTGCATTCTAAAGTTGAGAATTTAAGTTAAGATGGAAAAGTAAATTATGGTGATGCTCTTGAATAACCTTTCTGGAGCCTGCCAGAACTTTTAGGATAGTGTCTTCAGAGCTTAAAGGTCACTCAATATCTTAATTGTTTAATTGTATTGGTCTGCTTATCTGTAGTTCCCCATGAAGCTATCTTCAGAGATTTCCATCTTCCTAGGCTCACTTTGGAGTCCTGCAGCTCCTTGGATTACACCAAGCTCCCTCAGAGCTTCTCCCATGTTGTACCCTCAGAGAGCATTTACTGAACTGCTCTAACTCTTGAATTATATAGGTTTTGTTCATGTATTCTAAATCCTGAGATTGCACAGCACTGATGAGGAAAACATTTCTGTATTCCACCTCACCAAAAGCCCAAAAAGACTGTGTAGGAAAAACTGTCAAGACTATCTGATATTAATAAAATAAGTTCTATAGTGAAGCAGTTATATCTTTACTCTTATCTTTATTCCAATGGAGAGAGGTCGGTATCTGCTTGGCAGGTTGAGCAGGGGAAGGAAATAGATCTGTGTTGTAGCTGAAATTTCTTCTCCCGTCTATTTGCAGATGACTCTGGGATAATCTATTGCCTTTCCCGGCACGAGTGTGACACCACAGCAGCCATCCTGCAGAAGGAGGGGCTGGCTGCCCTGGCCTACCACGCTGGCCTCACCGATTCCAGCAGGGATCTTGTGCAGCAGAAGTGGGTTAATCAGGAGGGATGCCAGGTGAAGGAAAAGGGAAGGAAGTCTGGGCACTTACATCCCTCTTGGCCTGGGAAATAATAGGGAAGTGGTGCAGTGTTATCAGCAGATGTCTGCACTATTAAATAACTGATCCCAAGAGATCTGCTGGGGCACAGCAGCCACCTTTCCCTGGGAATTGTGTGAATAAAAGGTTGTAGCACTGTACTGAGGTGTGCTACCCCAGCAGGGAGGACGTGAGCAGTGCAGGGCTTCAGAAACAGCTCCTGGCACGCTGCTGTGGTGCACAGACCGGGATTTGGGGATTTTCCTGTGTCTGGAGCAGCCCCTCTGACAGGAGATGGGGTTGTTGCTGTTTTGTACTTGTTCTGCACAGTTCCAACTGAAATTGTGGGTAATAAGTGATGATCTCCTTCCCAGGTGATCTGTGCAACAATTGCCTTCGGAATGGGCATTGACAAGCCCGACGTGCGCTACGTTATCCACGCGTCCCTTCCCAAATCCATTGAAGGTTACTACCAGGAGTCTGGCAGGGCTGGGAGGGATGGAGAGATGTCCCACTGCCTGCTCTTCTACAGCTACAGCGATGTGACCAGGCTGAGAAGGCTCATCCTGAGTGAGTTCTGCTCTGGGAACTTGGGGATGACATTACAGCAGTCACATTGTTGCTGCTCTCATTTAGCCTGTGCCATTTCTCTTGTACAGGTGCCACGGATAGTTCAGTGTTGTAGGGAGGGGAGAACTGGAAATCCTTACCTGGATGGTTTTCATTCAGGTGGCAGCAGCAGGACTTCTGGTGCTTGTACTTAATTTTAGTCAAAACCACTTTTCTTCACAGAATCATGGAATTGTTAAGGTTGGACAAACCTTTAAGATCATCAAATCCAGCTGTCAGACCAGCTCCACCCCCTGTTCACCACTAAAATGGGTCCACATATTTTTTGATCACTTCCAAGGACAGTGACTCCATTCAGGGCATCCTGTGCCAGGGCTTTGCTACCCTTTCTGTGAAGAAACTTTTGATATCTGATCCACACTCTCCTGACACAACTTGAGGCCCCTTCCTCTCATCCTGTCACACATACTCTTCTCTTGCCTTTTGTCATTCTAGGCTTATTTCCCTTCTCCAATTCCCTAAAACTTCAGAGATAAAATATGTCCTACACCTGTTCTGTACTAATCCACTCATCTTTTCTTAAGCAAAGCCAATATTGCGGGTTTTTTAAGCAAAGCCAATTTTTTCCCAGTCCATGAAAACACAGAGGAGGTGCAGCTCTAACAAACACCATGGAATTTGCTCTGTTTTAGTGGAGAAGGATGGGAACAGCCACACGAGGCAGACCCACTTCAACAACCTGTACAGCATGGTGCACTACTGTGAGAACGTGGTCGAGTGCCGCCGTGTCCAGCTGCTCGCCTACTTTGGGGAAACCAACTTCAACCCCACCTTCTGCAAAGATCACCCAGAAGTGATTTGTGACAACTGCAGTAGGAAGAAGGTAAACCCCACGGGTTTTATTTGTAGTGGTGTTAATTTGTATTTAGCAGAAGTGGTTACATGACCTTTAGGAAGGCAAATGGAGAAAAGGAATAAAAGTTCTGTATTTTTATGATGCTTCCAGGTATTTTCAGGGTTTAACCATGGACTTGTGATGCTCCTGTTCCTGTCAGAGGTATAAAGATGTTCCTTGTAGGTGGCAGGAACTTAGGTCAGATCCACTGTTTGACTATGGGGAAATCCCTTCAGCTCCTGTCCTGGTGTTTCCAGGGCAGCTTTGTGCTGCCAGGGCAGCATCAGGGCCACATGAGGTGTGCACTGCTGAAGGTGGTCCAAACATTTTGGGTTATGCAAACTTAGTGGCAGGAGCCAGGAGCGGAAGAGAAGGCAGCTGTGGAGGCTGACAGGGAAGGGATCCTGGTCAGTTTTTTACCTGTGGATATTGTTTCTCAGCTCTGTGTTTGAAGCATTCCCTTATATAGCTGTGATTGGAACCAAGTTTGACCAGGAAAATTCATATTCAGTCTCATTTGGAAGTGTTTTGGAAGAGTAAGTTTTTAGAGAGCAGCAGGATAATTACAAGAATGCTTTCCAAATTATTTACCTTGATTCCCAGTATTTAGCCAGCAGTCTTGCTCCTCTCTCTACACAGATAACCCCAGGGAGATGTTGTACAGTCAGTTGGACTGGTTCTGTATTATCACATCCAGAATCCTTGTGACTGCATTGCTGTAGGTTACTAACTAGGAAACCACGGTTGCTTTGTTTGGAACAAACTCAATTCACAGCTGAGAACAGCTCAGTAATGAAAACTGAGGTTGTCAGTAACAACTTGAACTGGGGCAGTAATGACATGTCCTAACCAGGTGTGGTTTAACAGGATTATAAATCAAGGAATGTGACCGAGGATGTGAAGAGCATCGTGCGCTTTGTACGCGAGCACTGCAGGCAAGCGGGGCAGCTGAACGGCAGGAGGAATCCAGGCTCTGGCAGGTACACCCTCAACATGATGGTGGACATTTTCTTAGGTGAGTCTGTTCTCCCAGAGACTCCTGAATAACCTGCTGCAGAAATCCCTGACCAGGAATCAAGAGGGTTGTGCAATGCCAGCAGGCATTTAAAAATACATGTATTTTGCAAAGTTAATCTTACCCAAGAATCTCTTGGTGGTAAGTGATCCAAAAGAAATGAAACTGAAGATTTTATCCATTTCGGGTTGCTATAGTGATAATATTGGTTTTCCAGTGTTTAAAGGCATTTTTGAATGTGAATACAGTGCCTTGGGAATCTCCCACAGCTCTGTAAATGGATGTGTACATGGGATTTGTGAGCACGGGCTCATCCTATGCTTTGTGTTGCACAGGTTCAACGAGTGCCAAGATTCAGTCTGGAATATTTGGGAAGGGAGCTGCCTATTCCAGGCACAATGCTGAAAGGCTGTTTAGAAAACTGGTTCTGGACAAGATCCTGGATGAGGATTTGTACATCACAGCTAATGACCAGGCAGTGGCATATGTCATTCTGGGGGAGAGAGCTCAGGCTGTGCTGGATGGGTCACTCCAGGTGTGGAACTCTTTGGTTTCTTGAAGGCATTGTTTTAAGGAAGGTGCTGCAGTTTTCCTTCAGCATATCCCCTCGGGTAGCTTAAACACAGTTTGCCTCCAGCCAAACTAATGTCTGCTAGGTGCAAGGAACAGAATCCAACACCTGTGATTCCTAGCCCAGTATTCCAGTAACAATGCTGTGGGGAAAAAAGTGAGTTTGAGAGGGTTGGAGAGGTTTAAATCTTCTTTCTCACCCATCTGATTCCTGCTGGACAGTGAAGGAAAGTTCTGACCCCCACAGAAAGATGGCTAAGAAGAGAAAGAAGAAAGGCCAGCACTCTCTTCTTCATTTTCTACTCTATTTTTTCCTAGTCATTGGTAGGATCTGATGGAATAGGCACTCCATGAAAGGTCCAGGTCTCTTGGGACAATTCTCCTCTGCATTAGTGCTGTGTTTGGAGCAGGACAGAGCCCTCAGCATTGCCCCAGTGATCTCTGCTGGGAACTGGCTCTTGGGAGGTTTTCCTTCTCTCAAAACTCTGCCAGCTCTTTGAGAAGAAACCTGGGTGTGGTTGAGTAGCCTGTAAAAAATTATTTTAAAAATGAGTACTGGGTAAACAATTTTTTGGTCCATCAAAGGATACTCTGTGTTTCCTGTGCTGTGTTCCTGTGTTATCAGTCAGGGTGATCTGGCAGGAGTTATGCATGGCTCGTTTTAACAGGTGGAGTTCCACGAGACAGAGAGTGCCAGTGCCATCAGAAGGCAAAGGGCTTCCATGGGAAAGATGTCCCAGCGGGAAGAGGTTGTTAAGCAGTGCCTCAGTGAACTTACAGACACCTGCAAAACCCTGGGCAAAGTCTTTGATGTGCATTACTTCAATATTTTCAGTACTTCCACCCTAAAGAAAATAGCAGGTAAGATCAGGGGTCTCCGAGTCCTTTGGGGCTTCTGCATAGAGGGGCATGGAAAGGAATTAATTTCCTTCAGGGTATCTTTATAGAAAGTTATTTGTTTGACATGTCTGAGGGGTACTTTGTTGTGTTGCAGAAACCTTGTCCTCAGACATGGAGGTGTTGCTGCAGATCGATGGTGTCACAGAAGACAAACTGGAGAAATACGGTGCAGAAATAATTAAAGTGATGGAGAAGTACTCAGAATACTCCATCCAAGGTGTGCTTTGTACCTCACCTGTACTTCCTGTTCAGTGCCTTTCTCTCCTCCTCCAGCAGATGTTTGATTCAAAAGTTACCACGATTTAATCACAAATAACTAATTCTTACAGTCCAATAATTCCTAAAGGGAGCGGTCGCTCTCCGAACACCCCAAAGCTTTTTTACCTTCCCTAATTCAGGGTATCTCTGACAGACTGGGGATGGGGCAGTGCACAGGAGGTGAGGAACAGCCAGGACAGATGTTTTGGTGCCACCAGTGTGTTGTGGTGATGGCTGGCCTGGGTGATACCCTGACTGAGGTGGTTTTCTCTCTCTGCCTGTGGGTAGAAGACGCTGCCTGCCCGGGTGCGGACACGGGGAGCGCTGGCTCGCTGGGGAGCGATGGAGAAGCAGAGGATGCAGCTACAACCTCCGGCTATTTCGGCAATAACACAAACCAGAGGAGGAAAAGGAAGCGGCTGCCCAACGCCAGGGACTCCAAGAGGAAAAAGACAAGTGGTGGTGGCAGCCAGCAGTTCCACCCCAGAGGGTGCGTGCCTGGGTCACTTGTCACTGCCTGGTGATGATCCCAGGATCCCTCACCCCACTGCAGTTCCTTGGGTATGGGCTTAAATAACCGTGTTAAAATGGCCCAGTGCCTGGTCAGAACTGCTCTGCCGTGCTTTTCTGCGAGTTTGGTTTACAAAGCTGGTGAGGAAGGATATTCAAATGGTTGTCCTCACATTTGACTGCCACAGGCTAAGCAGGGAACACCACATTTCAGTGTTCTGCCAAAGCCAGCATTAGCAGGCTGACCAGGTTCCTTGCTTGAAATCAGAAAGAGGTCTTAAAACTTTGAACATTTGATGGAATATTTGAACTTCAGCCTCTTGTTAATTTAGATTCTCTCTTTGATTGTATCATGCAAGGCAACACCTGCATCTGCTGTTGGTTGGTCTTGAGCTTCTAGGGCAGATCTGCCCCTTCCCAAGGATTTTCCCCTTCCCTGCCCCTTTTTTCATCATTCTGCTCCCTGTTTTTTGTAGCAAATGGTTTTCCCAGCCCAGCAGGTTTTGTCTCACCCTTGGCACTTTCCCATCTACTGGAATGTCTGTCATTAGCTGCTGCAGCCTCTGCACTGTCACTTGCTGTACCCTTGGGTACATCCCAGAGCAACAGCTGGACTGTTTGCATTTCAGAGGTCGTTTTGCAGCCATGTGCATTAAAAAAAAAAAATAATTCTACAAAATGAGTGTGTAGTCTAGAAAGTGCAGCGGTGGTGCCTGTGTGAGCGGGGGCTGGTGCAGGGGCCAGGGCAGGTGGCACAGGTGTCTCACACCTTCTCTCTGGTTTTTGCAGTGGCTACAGCAGGTACAGAAGGACCAAGAAGCTGCCAAGCTCGAAGGCTGCAGCTTCCTCTGGTGCCAGCTCCGTGTCCTACAGCGTTGGTGGCTCACAGGGGGCTGCTGGGAAGCTGGCCATGATGGCACTGCCCAAACCCAAATCCAGGAGCTTCCTTCAGCCTTCGTATTCCGTATTTTAAGTGGGAAACGCAATTACTGGACGAATTTCCCCAAGATGGAATCACTGTTCATTAAATTTTTTGTTTCATTTGCTGCTGCTGAACCTTCTGGGACTTGTGTATTTGTAGAGTACAAAAGCTCACATTAAATAAATATTTTTTAACTTGTCAGTTTATTTGGGCCTTTCTACTTGTGAGTGGTTCTAAAAACTCTCCCCTGTTGGTGTCACTCCTCCCTGTGATGCTGCTTTACACGATCAGGACCACAAATGCTGCATGTCCCCAGTGCTGTGGCTGCCTCTGTCCTCGCTTGCTCCTGCCTCAGTGCTCCAGAGCTGGGCTGCTGCTCTGGAAAGGACAGGTTGGGAAGGAAAAAAGGTAATGAATGTTTTTATCTTTCCCATTTGATTCCCCACATCCTGGAACTGGGAGTGCCCAACCCTGCCCTGTGCTGTGCTTTTTCTCAGTTCCTGTTTTTTTTCTTTCTAAGCCGTGAGCTTGTCAGTGCTGAGGCACAGGGCAGCTGCCCTCGGCCGTGCCCGCAGGGCTGGGCCCGGAGCACCGGGACCGGGCCTTCCCCTGCTTGCCGAGGGAGGATTTCATCCGCTGCTCCGGGGCAAGGAGTCCGCACGGCTGGGGGTTGTGAGGGACCTTAAAGCTGATCCCATCCCAACCCCTGCCATGGCAGGGACACCTTCCACCATCCCAGGCAGCTCCAAGCCCCGTCCGGCCTGCCCTTGGCGCTTCCAGGGATCCAGGGGCAGCCCCAGCTGCTCTGGGCACCCTGTGCCAGGGCCTGGCCGCCTCAAGGAGGAATTTCGCACCCCGAAGCTCTCCGGGCGCTGCGGCAGCGGCAGCCGGGGCGCTGAGGGCGCTGAGGGAGCTGAGGGAGCTGAGGGAGCTGAGGGCGCTGAGGGCGCTGAGGGAGCTGAGGGAGCT